TGAAGTGAGAAACTACCTCGCAATATCCTTGTTTGACAATCAGCAGTTAGCGTTAGCGGATTATATTAGTGAATTTGACTAGCGAATTATATCAACAGTTGGTAAAAAGATATTTGAAAAAATTAACTTTTAAAATTAACATTTAAAATGACCTAAGGGTATAATAATAATAATAATAATAATAATAATAATAATAATAATAATAATAATAATAATAATAATAATAATAATAATAATAATAATAATAATAATAATAATAATAATTGTTTTAATAATAATTTTTTAAAAAAATATAGATGTGTTTTGGGGAAATCATTCTCAAAAACGCTAAGTGAAAATATTGTAAATTGCAATGCTTGTATTTTTAGTGGTTCGGAACAAATTATTGCTTCAAACTGTTGAATAACTAAAACACTTTGTTTAGCATTTTGATCTTTGGGTTACATCATATTTACCAATCGTCTAATATCTTTGGGTTACATTATAATTAAAAATTTTAAATTTTTACTACATCTAAATTCCTTAAATTAGGAACTTCTTTATCCATAATAATTTATTCAACAATAATGGTTGAACTAAATGAACACTGAGCAAATCACCTAAAGGACTGATTCCGTTGAATCATTCATTGATCTTTTATATATTCACATCTATTAAATATATATATATATATATATATATATATATATATATATATATATATATATATATATATATTAGAACCCTTTGCGACAAAAATACTTGGTTACTATTTAAAATTTTTTTAGTAATAATTATAATGAATCTCCTATATTACATTGTATTCATATACTATAAAGTACATATTTAAATAAACAAATTAGACATTAAATTACTTATGTTGAACTTCTCATATATAATCTTGCATTGATAAACATTGGGTAGAAAAAATGACCGCCAAATTATTAAAACAAATGAATAGTTCAGATTGTTCAGATTTTTATTTTTCCTCGAGATTTCCTAATTTATCCTTAATTATATAATTATTCGATCCGTTAACTTTTTCATTAAGTACTGTTCACCGTTAGTCTAATTCTAATATTAAAGTCTAATATAGAATTATAACTACAACATTAATCTAATCTAATTCTAATATTAAAGTCTTAATAGAACTCTAACCACAAATCCGGCTAATTATGCTGTGAGCACGTGCCCACCTTGCAAGGTGGGCACGGTTCCATATCCATAATTTCTATACTGTAGATTCATAATTTCTATACTGTATATCCATAATTTCTATACTGTAGATTTATAAAATTTATACTTCAGATTCCAATTGTTGAACTCTGTTTTCACAAATTAGAGAACTATATGTTCATAATTGATAACTATACAGTTTAGAAATTATGAATTTACAGTACAGAAATTATGAATCTACAGTACATATATTATGAATCTGCAGTATAGAAATTATGAATCTACTGTATAGAAATTATGAATCTACTGTGTTTAAATTTTGAATCTACGGTTTAGAAATTATGAATCTAAAGTATAGAAATTATGGATCTACAGTATAGAAATTATGAATCTACAGTATAAAAAATATGAATTTGGAACCGTGCCCACCTTGCAATGTCCTTGTTTGACAATTAGCAGTTAGCTGTTAGTGTTAGTGGATTATATTAGCGGATTTGACCAGCGAATTATATCAACGGTGGGTAAAAAGATATTTGAAAAATTAGCCGTTTAGATTAACATGTAAAATGACCTAAGAGTATACATATATTTAATAATAATAATAATTGTTTTAAAAAAATAAAAAAATTATAATTAAGCCAATCATATTAACTACTTGGGTGATTTATTGACAAAAAGAGTATTCAAATCACACAATAAATTGAAGTGGAAAACTAACTCGCAATGTCCTTGTTTGGCAATCAGCAGTTAGCTCTTCAATATTAGTATATATTTAATTTTAATATTTTATACCCTAATTTTATTTGCTCTCCCTTATGTCCCATATTTGATTTCAACCATACCTATACAATTATTTTATTGACAATTATAATCAATCTTGACTATATTATCTTGCATTTGTAAACTTAGAATTACTTATTTAAATACGCAAATTCAACATTCAATTATCTATGCATGAACAATTCCAATATAATTTTGTCTTGATATACTTTAAAGTACTTATTTTTTAAAAAAACATTGGGCATTATCCCAATCGCGCAATGCGCGTAAAAAACTAGTATATATATATATATATATATATATATATATATATATATATATATATATATATATATATATATATATATATATATATATATATATAGGGACGCAGGTGCGAATAAGTGCCCAGGAAGGAAATGCAAACGAATCAGCGCGCGACACGTGTCCAGATCTAATAACTTAAAAAAAACGCGGTGTCATTTTCGTAAATAATTGAACATCGAAGTGCAAGTAAAATCTCTTATAAGTGCACCTATTTTCACCTATAAGTGCATGTAATTTTGCCTTGTTAGCATTCACTTTCCGCAACCATTCATGCACTTGGGTGTGCTTATAACTATGTGTGCAACTATTTATAACTATAGGTGCAACTACTTATAACTATAGGTGCAACTACTTATAACTATTGGTGCAACTACTTTCACCTATTAGTGCATGTAATTTTGCCTTGTTAACATTCATTGATCTGAATTCAGCGGGTAGTAATACTCCTGAAAACCACTCGCAAACATTCATACACCTAGATGCAACTACTTATACCTATGTGTGCAACTACTTAGAACTATAGGTGCAACTACTTAGAACTATAAGTGCAACTAAGTATTGATGCTCAGTGTAAATTTTTACTTGCACCTATAATACATTTTACATGCACTTGTAATACATTTTACTTGCACTTCGATGTTCAATTATTTACGAAAATGCCACCGCATTTTTTAAAAAAATCAGTGTTTCTCATCCATTAGATCTGGACACGTGGACGAACAGAATCCATTCCTATTTCGCGCCTGGGCGAGCCGTTCGCACCCGAGTGCAAGTCTATATATATATATATATATATATATATATATATATATATATATATATATATATATACAAATTCAATGCTGTGTCTGTACAGAATCCCACGCCTGTTCAGAATTCAAATCAAATACATAATAATATTAAAGGATATATTTAAAAGAACAAATTAATAGTCGTGTCTGTTCAGAATATAAAATATATATATATACAAATTTACAAATTCAATGCCGTATCTGTTCCGAATCCCACGTCTGTTCAGAATTCAAATCAAATACATAATAATATTATAGGATATTTTCTCAAAAAAAAATAATATTATAGGATATATTTAAAAGAACAAATTAATAAGGATGCAACAATATTTATTTATTGCACTTCATATTTCCTGCAAAATATATATATATATATATATATATATATATATATATATATATATATATATATATATATATTATTCAATGAATCCTCATTCCTTTGGGATTCCAAAACTTTAGTATGAATATAAAGAGTCCCAAATAAACATTCATAATAGAACTCTAATTCATGGCTTATAAAAGGAGTCTAATATCATTTCATATACATCCCGGTAATTCTACATCACTACAAACACTTTGTTAGATCAGTTAAAAATACCAGTTCAAGTATGCCTCCTCTCTACATTTTGGCCAATCAGATAACACCCATGAAAACCACTTGTGCGTTGAAGGTAAGATGTATTCGTACATATGGAGTTAGAGAATGTAGCGGCAGTGAGGTTGTCAAATGTCGAGAATGCGTGTTCCATGATCGGGAGGTAAGCATCTAATCTATGAAAATAAATTCATCAATTGCAGGGTAATTTGCAAAACCACAACAATATAAATTCTTTTTTAATGTAATTGCAGGGTAATGTCTTACATGCTAATATACCACGTGAGCATGTTGCTAAATTCTAGAATAGATTCGTTGAAGGCAAAGTTTATTGTCTAAAAAATTTTCTGGTTGTTACTAACTTTTATACTTATAAGAGTAGCAATAACAAATTTATGGTCAAGTTAAACTATTCTACCATTGTCAAGGAGTACAAAAATCAATATTTTCGTAGGCACATGTTTCGTTTGAGAAGTTTTAAATCTTTGAAATCAACTGAGATAGACGACAAAGAACTTATTGGTAACTAATCTACTTCATTACTTTTTTTTTTTTTTGATACTGCATTCGTATTTATATTGGATTTAATTCTTTGTAAGTTGTAACTTTCTATATTTTTTTTTTTAGATGTGATTGGAAGGATAATTGAAATATATTCTCCTATAGAAAAGGTCATTGGTGGAAGGCCTTCCCGGTTGATAGACTTTCTTATGGAGGATGAAAGATTTATTATGTGTTAGTTCACAATTTTATTGTAATCTTAATTTTTTTTGGATACTGAACTATTTTTGTGTCTTTAGTAGTAAGGTCGATTCTTGGTACAAAAAAAAGTGCCACTGATCCTATCATTATTTTGATGCAATTTTGTAGGGTAAAAACCTGCTTCAACAGTAAGTTCACATCTCTACTTGATTTTATAGCCTATGTAGTTTTTTATTATTTCATTAATACAAATTATTCTATCTTTTTCAATAGCGGGGGAAACTAAAATTTCATCTTCATATGATGCGACTCAATTATTTATAAATGAAGACATTCCTGAAATAATTGATTTTAGGGAAAGGTAAATACTATCATTGAGTCTTCAAATTTTTCGAGTTTGTGAGTTTTTTTATTCTTAATTTCTGTTGTGTCCACTTTAGCATGTGTGGTGAGAATACTCCTATGCGGAGTATTTGTTCTAATGCAAGTCTATCTGCTGCCAATACTTTTGACACATTCAACCGTGAGTCTATGATTATGAGTACAATAAGTGATGTGTATGAGAAAAGACAGGTATGTTTATTTTAAAGTCCATTACTTATTATAATATAAGCAATAGTCTTCTAGACTGACTTTTTATTTTTATTGATATCCAGTTTGGAGATTATTGAGTTGTCGCGAAGATTGTTGGAATAGAAAGTGGTTTGGACTGGTGTTATAACTCATGCAAGACACGGGGATGTAACAAGAAACTTTCCTTGAATACGAAAGGATTCTATGACTGTTACAAGTGTAAAAGAACATGGGGAGAAGGTATTTTGAGGTACAGAATTAAAGTGAGAGTTGTTGACAGGGATGGTAATGCACCATTCCTTTTATGTGACAGTGAGTGTAAGGAATTGATAGGCATGTCGGCTATAGAACTGAGAGGAAAATATCCACAGGTAATGCACAATTACGTATTAAATGCGTTTACTTTCAAAGTCTAAAACTTATTGTACTATTAATTATATCTAATTCTTGACTTATAGGATAAACAACTATTCCCAAATGAGATTTCATCGTTGTGTTCCATGACACTGATTTTTAAGATTTCCGTGAGAAAAGAACAGTTTCAGCTTCCTAATGCCTTCGCTGTTATGAAGATTATTAACGATCATTCATTGGTTGGTTCCTACTGTCCTGAATTATTGGAAAACTTTGACAGTGATCCAACTTCTAAGCTGGAGTCCAATGACTGTTTTAAATCAGATGAGGTAAAATTGAAATATTTTTACCTTATCAATTCAAATCTATGTCTTAATCCTATATTAAAATTAATAAAGCTTTCTTTTTCAGGAGTTTCTTTCAGAAGGAGAGGGTGAAATCCAGTGGCCTTAATTGGGACTGCAAACGATGTTGAGGATCTAGACTCGGGGAGTTGTCAAAGCGTTGTCTATTAGATGAGTTTTTCTCAAGCAAGACCTCTTCAAAGAAACTACCAATTGAGAACAAGTTGGAGAACACATTTGATGATGCAAATTGACTTTTAAAGAAATTTTAAGTTGAATCATTCTTTTGGTGTTTCGGTACTGGTCCCTTCAAACATTGAAGACATGTTTGGCTTTATTTTTTTAATAAACTTTGAGACTTTTAAAAATCCTTAATAGTTAAGGATTTTGCTATCTTTTTCAGACTAATCTTTATAACGACTCTTTTAAAATCCTAGCAGGAAAGCATTTGAATAACCTAAGTTACTAAAGAAGGGTCTCCTGAAAACAAAATGTTCTAATCAAAGCAACTGAATTACTGAAATGGACAGAAAAACCACAACCTTATTTGCCATATTGCACCCCAAAATTATCTAGCCATCTTTGAAGCTTTGGTTTACCTGGCTCAGCTTCTTCAGTCAACTGCTCAATCCAACTCAGTGTTGACTCTTTCTATGTCTTCTTGGCCTAAATTGCAATTTGAATAAGAAAGATGAATACATTGATTGCTATCTCTATTCCTCCTTCCAAAGTAAAGAATAAAATAAATAGCAATTTCTTTACAAGATTAAAAGTCTCGAAGGTAAATCATGTAATTAATTACATACAAGAGTAGAAACAGGAACTTCATCGCATTTTATTTGTATATTTCGTACATAGAATAGAAGTGTAAGATTTTGAGAAACATTTTTTTCTGAAAAGTAAAACTATGAATGTCATCATCTGCCATTTTCTTGAAAAATGGTATAAGCAACATACTCAGACACACAAATGTAGCATATATTTTACAGGCTCAATAAAAATTGAATAGTCAAGTAGCCTAACAACTTTTACACTTTCCACAATTATTACTTAAATAATTCTGGAGTGGCCATAATTATTGAAAAACATTTAGCTTTAAAATAGTACAAAGTTATCACAACAACAAAATGATATGTGGCTCAACCATTTTAGGGGCCAAAAGACGAAAAATATTAAAAGTATTAAGAAAAATATGTCTAAATACAGTCTAACAGTAGAAAAATATTAAGAAATTTTTTTTTTTTTTTATGATACAGTACACACAACACTCAATTGTATAATCTATATTTTTTTAAGAATACAAATTACAGTTATAGATTTTATTTTTTGTTTTTTATTCTACTTATCTTTAACAGTAACGTTTTATACTTGCTCAACATTCTGCATGTACGGTGAATGAGTTATTTCCAGTAGTCATCTTTATCTGTATGTATTCTTTTGATTTTTTAAATGAAAGTAATTAGACCTGTAAATTTAAAAGTTAGGGTTTATATCTAATTGCCTTAAATGTGATTTTTGGTAGAAAATAATTAAAACTTACCGGATCTTAAGAACACTGTCTGTATCAACCATGGACGATGAAGATTTTATACTTCGTCAACCGTCTGCATGTGCATCTAGGAATGTTTCTAGAGTAGATATTGAGTTGTATTCCTTCTTTTCTTTTTTCTTTTATTTTTTCTTTTTTGCCGTAGTAGTTAGATCTGTAAATAAAATATAAAAAACAAACTTAGGATTTAGATATTGATCTGTAAATTGTTTTTTACCCGTAGAAAATCATCAAAACTTACTGTTTCTTATGAAAGCTCTCTGTATCGCCATGGTTGCCGAAGTTTGTTGCTCGGATCATTAAGCTGCTATGGCGGTGTGCAGAGTAGGTGTTCTTCTCTACTCTGGGTGTTCTTCTCTGCTCTTTCAATGCGCACCTTATGGAACCAACAAACGAAGAGTTCATCCACGATGTTGTTCTTACGGAAATTCAATAAAATTTGTGGTGTGGTAGAGAATGAAGTGATTTCCAAATGGGTACAGGTAGAGTGAGATTGATAGCAATGATATGAGATGAGAGATGAGAGGAAGATAATTGGGAGAAATGGTGAAAGTTGCCTAAAACGTGCTGGATGTCTTTTTTATACTTAGGCTAAATTATTTGCTGGGCTGTGAAATATATATGGGCTGATGGTCCATTAAAATTATAGTATTTACTAATCAGCCCATTATAAATTAGTCTATAATATATATATATATATATAATCCTAATTATATACCCATCTTTATCTTTATATTTAATATACTTATATTTTTTATTTTAATTATTAATTATGTAATCTAACTTTTGTTCATTTTTTATGTCATATACATTATTAATTTTGTATTACCTGATATGAATTTATCACAACTTTATAACATCGTAAAATACTTGCTTAATTATGGACAAAATCAAGCATTTAGGTCCAGATTGCTATAAGAGTAATCCTAACGGATTGAAGATTTTATTTGTAGTGACTTGAACAATGTTAGTAGTTAGTATGTTAACTACTAACGTCGTTTACCCTGAAGTGTTTAATAATGTTTAATATTTTTTTATTTACATAATGTAATATAGAATGCCAAGTAGTTTTTTATCATTAAAATCTTCTTCATATTCTCTTTTGTTCTTCAAATATATTCAATATAATTGGCGTCTAATAAATAAATTGATTTTTGATTAATTAAAATACTACAAACAAATTTTCAAATTATATCCGTGCATCGCACGGGTCAATTACTAGTGTATATATATATATATATATATATATATATATATATATATATATATATATATATATATATATATATGTAAATAAAAAAAAATTAACTATATAAGACTCCTTAATTATGGAGCCTTGGCTCCTAAATTAAGTAGCCTGCCCATCTACATGCCTAGCAGATGGGCATTGCAAGCTTGCCTTGCGGATGAGCATTGCAATTGAAATTATGGAGCATTGAGGCTCTTTGTATAGGAGCCTCAACCTCAAGACTCCATTTCTTACTTCTCCAACTGATGTGGGATAAGTGGGAAAATCTTACTCTATATAATAGCAAAATGTTTTTTGCCAATCAATTTCCCGACTAAATAAAATTGCATCATTTTAAGGTATTAAATACCAATTAAATGAAATTGCATCATTTTAAGGTATATAATGCAGCAAGCATACTTATCTATTTTCAATACATGTTAATCTACAATTATTGTTATTTAATGATGAAGCAGGTAATACATTCCAGTATTTTTAAGTTAACATTTTATTATATAAATTAATTTATTGTTTACTGAAAAAAAAATTAGAGTATCCGATTTTAAAAAATAAGATTAACCTGTTTTTTTATTCTTACAATTTTGTTGATCGACAACAATTTAATTGTTCATTCTAATATAGTTTTGAGAGGGTTTTTTTTTAAAAAAGTTACTAAATCAATTACTAAATTGAAAAAAAAAAAGTTTTTTAAAATTTAAATCAGTTGCATGAACAATAATATTGGAGAGACGAATAAGTTTAAACAAATAATTATTGAACTGATATTAAGTAATTAGAAAATACGATGTATTTCTTAATTTCGTTTTAAACAATAAGTTTTACCCGATGATACTGTATTTATTAGTTTGTTTTAGATCTGTTCCGGTCACCCGATTTTTCAGATCGGCATTTGGGAAAGAAAGCAATTCCACAACGGCCGAAAGCTACGGTCAGATTATTTGAAAAGTTTTTTAGCAGTGAATTACTTGGACGTGCGATGATTTAAAATCGAGTCTGTCAAGACGCCGGAAACAGAGAAGGTTCGCGTAAGTCAGTGAACATTTTAGAGAGAATGAAGAACGCAATAGAGTAGACGGAAGCGCAATCGTCAAAAAATATGGATTAGGGTTTGGTAATCAGGTTTTATAATTGGGTTAATGGGCTCGAGTATTGGGCTGAAATGCAACGTAACTGGATTATATGGATAGATAATTAAATGTTTATTGGGCTTAGCATTGCAGGTTTTATTTTTTCTTTCATGTCATGAAATATTTCATATTTAGTTTAGATTTATATATGTTGTACGTATATAATTATTATTATTAAGCAATGTTTAAGAAAAGATTTTCGTAGTTAGTTTCAATGTATGATGATGATACTGTATTTTTTATTTATATATTGTCAAGTATATGTACTATAGGCTTTAATTGCAAATCATATTAATAAATGTTTTTATATATAAGAAAATTTAATTTCATAATTTTTTATTGTATATTGTTTGATTTCCAAATTTTTAAATTTTTTTTTTATAAAAATGTGTGTGTGTGTGTGTGTGTGTGTATAATTATTTTAATGTACACTTTTTAAATCTCATGTGGTATGTTATAACACAATTCTTTATAATATATGCTAACAGTATGTGATGTTCGATATAACAACCAATTTAGTATTGTTAAAGAAAAATACATTTCAGAATAAGTTTTAATTTCATGATTAATATTTTATTTTATTGTTTTTAAAATATTATAAATAATAAAGTTACTTAAATTTTATGCCGTGCATCGCACGGGGCAAAAACTAGTAAATAGTAAATATAAATATAAATATGTATTTGTATAATAATAATAATAATAATAATAATAATAATAATAATAATTATTATTATTATTATTATTATTATTATTATTATTATTATTATTATTATTATTGTTATTCTCTCTCTCACACACCCATGCATATACATGTATATAAATATAAATATAAATATATAATACCACTTTGATGGTGTGAAGAGTAATTGATGATTTCTCTTCATCTGTATCATTACAAGTTGAGACTTGAGATGAAGAAAAAGCTTTGCACAGAGACTCCAAAACTTGTCTGTCTTTAAGAAGGATATGATGGTGTAAAATGAGTAAACTGTTTTGAGATGATCTTGCAAACTGCAATGCTATGATGATCCTGCAAACTTCAATTCTTGGCTAATCCACAAAAAAAAAAAAAAAAAAAAAAAAAAAAATCAGAGCAAGAAAACAGTTGAAACATTAAATGAAATTCAGGGGCTGAAATATAATGCCAAGGCATCATCCATCAGATCTCTAATCATTCCAGAACGAGAAACCAAAATATATACTATAACAGAGTAGTCACCTGTACATATCCTTCAAAACTCGTCTTGAAACAATTTCTCCTCATCACATTCTTCCTCTGAGATGTTTACTTTTCAGGCTGGAAACAGTAAATTAAGTTTTAAAAAAAAATAGTGAACAGACAGGAGGTAAGGAAATATATAGAGAAAAATGAGATGAAGTGACAGAAAACAAATGACTATTCCTTGCAGATAAACAAGTAGAATGAGATGTGAAATGGTCAGAGATATATTAGAGGAATAGAAAGAGACCTAATATTTTCAGGAACGAACAAGGATGGAATTTCCATAGTTGTTGAGTTGCTCATCTTGAATCCACTTTGCGGAAGTCAGAAGTGAATCCTTACAGTAGTTTAACTCAATCAATGCTAGTGTAGTGATATCCACAAAACCACTAGGAATCTCTTGCAAATGCGTGCATTGATATAACTTTAAACATTCGAGCACAGGAAAATGATCACCCTCAACAGTCCAATATTTGAGATGTATGCTTTGAATTACCAACCACTTCAATCGACGGAACCCTCCATTATGTGGCTCCCATTTTGGGCCTTGGCAAGCATCTATCAATTTTAGAACCTCTAGATTTGGCAACATACCAATAAGCCTCATATCACTCCATGGCAACCAAGTCTTAAAGAATTTGAGCTTCTTAAGATTTGGTAGAAAACTAGTTGCCCATGGAATGTCGCTACATGGAATATGTTTGAAAGAATACCGACTTCTGATGCTTAGTGCCTCAAGCTGCCCCAAGTGCACAAAATTATAAAAACAATTAGCACTTCTACCTTCAATCCCCAACTTTTTTAAATTTGGAATTCTTGTAAATAGATCCGGTGTACAGAGTTTAGAATCCAACCAAGATATATTCTCTAAGTTTCTATGAACAACCGAAGAAGTTTCTAATGAACAAATTCTTTCAACACAAAAATTCCTTAATAGTGGCATTGTCCAAATTGTAAATGCACTAGAGGAATCCCATTTAACAAATCTTCCACAAACAATAAAGCTTTGCATATTCCTATGCTCAAAGAGCTTTAAATAAAGAGGAGGGTGATCATTTCGGTATTGATGGGTCAAAGAAAAGTATCTCAAATGAACAAGACTGGCAAACACATTTACCTCACATGAATTGCTACAGTATCCACATCCAATGTCTACTACTCTTAGCAGTTTCAAGTATGAAAGAAGTTCATCAAGTATATGAAAGTAAAATCTCCTAGAGTAATCAAACCTTGAGTGTAAGGAATGAGATTTGTCAAAGCACTTATCTCCAGACCTGATTTCACTATTCAAACATTCTGATGTATCACTTATCCAACGACAAGATTTTGAAAACAGGTGCTGTGATTCCCTCTTGTAAATTGGAAGCTTTTCATCTCCAATCACATTCACATTCAATAGATTTTCACGTCCAGCTTCTTTCAAGCACAAATCTCGCAATAAATCATGTATCCTTATTTTCTTCATTTCCCCATTATAGCTCAGTTCGCTAACTATAACAAGACTTCTATCAACAAGATTTTGCAAGCATTCCATGGCCACTTTCTCCATATTCACATGCTTCACAGCCCTCAGAAATCCCTCCGCTGCCCATAACCTAACCAACTTCTTCACAGGGATCTCATAGTCTTCTCGAAAAACTCCAAAATACAGAAAACAAGCTTTTAAGTGGTGTGGTAATTGGTGGTAACTTAGATACAGTATTCTGGAACATGCATCATTTGAATCACCAATTACACTTTTTGCAACATTCTTCCACTCTTCCTCCTCCTCCTTTATCTTTGAGAGAAGACTAGCTACTACAATAATGGCCAGAGGTAATCCTTCACATTTCTTCACTATCTCTCTACCAATTTGCTCAAACACTAGAACGAATTCAGTTTTACCAAAGACTTTGCAGTAGAGATTCCAACTTTCATCGGGATCTAAGAAAGGCATGTTAAGAGGAGAGTTACCTGAGCTAGCATATTCTCCCACCTCTTTGAGTCGAGAAGTCAATAGTATGCGGCTTCCATTATTATCATCTGGAAAGCATCTTTGCACACTATCCCAAGGAGTAGTGCTCCATATATCATCCATCACTATCAAATATCTTTGTTCCTTCAAGTGTTTACGCAGGCATTCAGCTAGTTGGTCTTGGCCACCAACTCTTGATGTTGCAGTAACACAACTAAGAAGACATTGGAGCATTTGTTCAACGTTATACTCTTGGGATACAGTAACCCATGCTCGCTTGTAGAAATGAGAAGTAATTGACGGATGTTCATAAACTTGGTGTGCTAGAGTGGTCTTGCCTATTCCTCCCATGCCAACAATTGAAACAACTTGTCTCCCCTTAGTTGTTTGTTGCGTGAGCAGCTGATCCAATATCTTCTCGAACAGCTTGTCGCATCCGACCATTCTACTGTTGTCAAACTTTGAAGTGTTTTTGGACAAGTTACTCACAATAATTTTCTTGTGTAGTAGTCCTCTTCGTCGGATCCTAATCAACTCATTCTTGAGGTAATCAGTCTGTTTTTCTGCTTCATTAAAGATTTGATGAAGCCTGAGCAGGCAAGCTGTTACATGAAGACTATCATTTGCTAGATAAATGGCAGTCAACTCCATCTCAATCCTTTCTTCCAATTCGAACGATGCATCTCTGATCTGCGCCTCTAAATCTTTCATCACCCTCGCATCATCATAGGGGATCTCAGATTTCTCAAGACTTTGTTGCAGCAAGCCCAGATTTTGATGGAGAGAAACTATCTTTTGTTTGACTTCAGCCACCTCCCTGAGTCGAGAAGTCAAAAGTATACTATCCCAAGCAAGCTGCAGCTTTCCATAAAGCCTGGGGAAGCAAGTCTTTATACGAGGACGACGCTTTGATGATGCTTCTTCGTTCAACTCCATCTGTCTGATCCGAGCCTCAAGAATTTGTTGCAGCACGCCAAGATTTTCATTTTTGGCATCTCTGATCTGTGCCTTTAAAGCTTCAAGCTGCTGCAGCTTTTCACTTTTAATCAACTTCTTCTCCTTGGCGTAATAATCAGTCTGTTTTACTGCTTCATTATTGGTAATCTCGGATTTCTCAAGAATTTGCTGCAGCAAGCCAAGTTTTTCATTGCCATCTCTAATCTGTGCCTCTAAATCATCAAGAGGAAAGGCTGGTTGTGATTGCAAGAAATGTAGAGAAAGTGTTTCCATAAGCGAAGTTACAGCAGCGTAAGCCATTTAATTTGGGTTGGAAAATCAGAGCAGAACTCAGAAGAATTACAAAGATTTCGTTGGTCAACGCAAGAGTTTAAATAAACGTGATTTTTAAATTAGAGCTAAGTTTGCCTAGCTTCTTTCTTTCTTTCTTGTCATAATTGCAATTTTAGTCCCTAAATTATAGGACAAGTGCAAGTGTAGTTCTTAATTATCATAATTGTTGTAATTTGTTTTGGTCGGTTGGCATGTTAACTCCTAAACGGTGAACTTGCAAACAATATTGTGAAAATAGAATGGACATAAAAATAATGATATAAAGAACAGAGAAAATAGACACAGAGAAATCACCGGAATCGCTTTATTCAATTAATCTTTACATATATATAATATAATACTAGTAATTCACCCGCGCGATGCACGGGAAAAAATTATGTTATTATAAATATAAATAAAAAAAATAGAAAAAATAAAAATATTTTAAATTGTTTAATATAATAATATTTTTGAGCTTCCATTGGTCAAGTATTTATTATTTTTATAGAATATAAAATTATAATTAAAATTTTGTATGGTTAATATAATCTCTATTCTCTAATTATGTACATATTCAAATAAACTTATAGAGAGGATTTACATAATTACATTGATTTATTCTTAATTGTATTTCATCTATATTATAATTTTCACAATACGAATAATAACTAAGATAATTACATTTAGAAAGCAAATTTCAAATTTTGTATGAGTAAATTTAAACTCTAATTGAACACATTTTTTTATATGGTTATATAATATATTCTTTATGCACATGGCATTCCATAAACTCAAATGTAATTTTATAAGTCCAAGACCACTTTTTGTACGTGGAGATAATTCAAATATATTTTTTTTCTTTTAAAAGTCCTAAGTTTAGACATCCAGAAAAACATTAAAGACCCATACGATATATACATTTATATATATTTAAATTTTTATTTATGGCTTAAATGATTTTTTTTTATTCTGAAGTCCAATAATTGACCCACGGTCCGCAACATTTGCTTTCTTCATCCCTTCTCGCTTCTACCATTTCTTTGAAGCATTTGAGATGGAGAAAAATTATATGTAGAGGCTTGCATTAATTGCACTGTTTCAGATATCGAATAGGCTTTCATCGAAAATTTAATTAATATTGTAATCCAAAGAACCACCATAAATAACAAAAGCATATCAAATAGACTTTCATTGTAAAGCCAGAGATTTAATTAATATTGCATCGTTTCATATTTTCTATTAATCGGGAATCGGAATCCTTAATCTTAATATCATAACATTTAATAACTCCATTAATTCAATAAATGTAATCCTTTGTTATGAGCGAGAAAAAAAATAGCTATTTTATTTTTCAAATGTTGTGCTTTTTTTTTTTAGTAAAAGATGTTGTGGCTAATTTAATTTATAGCTAGTAATAATAATAATGTTGGTAATTAATTGTAAAATTAATTGTAAAATTAATTACTTCCCAACCATATAGCTTTATTATATGTAAGATAATAATAAAGGAAGGAAGTAAATAAGATAACCGTTACAAAACATCACCGTAAATGCTCCTAATGTCAATAATAATGTCCATATTAAAAATCATTTGATAACACTCCCCTTGGACATTATATTACCATAATCTTGCCTACTTAAAAACTTTCTAGAAAAATCCTGTGGAAAAAACCTAGACAAGAAAAGACTACAAAGTATATTGGTAGTATATTTAAATATATAGCATGCCTCATTAAAAATCTCAGTAGAAAAACCACGTGGTAAAAAAACTTAGTTGAGAAAAAGAGTACATGTTGTACTGGTTGACTCATTAAAAACCTTACTAAGAAAATCCTGTGGAAAAAACTTAGTTAAAGGGAAAGAGAGTACAATTGTAAGCCTTCAAAGGGTAATCTTTATGATTTTGGGGTTTGTCTACTTAAGCATTTATTTTGCAGCTTTTTCCCATTGACATTGCTACATCATACTCATGCTTTGTTAAAAATCACACTAAAAAACTCAATGGGAAAAAAGTTTAGCGAGAAAAAGAGTACATGATATGTATATATTGCAAAAGTAAAACTGTTAGTCCTTTAAAGATCCAATCTACAAGATTTATTCGAGTGAATGTACTTTATATTTCCGTCTCACCCTAAAGATAATAATCTTCAAGTTCTATATAGCATAAAGTCATTATTTCAATAGAGTGTAGAGATGAGATATAGTACAATCTTTAGGATTGTCATTAGAATTTTATAAAATAATCTTATGACTTTTCTGGAGCATAAGTGGGTTGAATATTTTTATATAACTTGTCTACTATCCTTTTAAATATATCAACTTAAAATTTATACAAGACAAACTTTATTATCCCCATATAATAGTGGAGGTAAAGCAAAACATAACCAATTGGGATTTGGCATCATAAGGGTCAAACAAAGAGCTAATACCCAAGTAGCCTAAGAAAAACACTCATTGCTTTATTGCATGAATTTCAAAAATCTTTATAAATCAAGGATATTTTAAATATTATTTCAATGTTCAAATGTATGACGGGCACTAAGTGTTGCCATGCTAGTAATTTTATTGCAAGGACAATGTCAGTCCTGATGCGATCATGGAATTTCTGATTCTATGATAGTGCCCCACTTAGCGATGAAGTAATTAATAGACTTCTAGTCTCCAAAATATCCTCATTATCTAGATAGTCTTTTATCTACTTCGAGATATTTGGACGGCAATTAATATACTAAAGGATATATTTAGGACATTTTCAAGAGGGACTTATAGGTTTCCTTCTAGGAAACGATATTTGAGTTTCCCAATCACATATACAATTTCTAGGCATGTTTCTAATATGAATTATGATAAGGAAAATTCTATATGTAATCCCATTTTCTACTCCCAACTTGCACTCCCACACATAAAACCTTGATGTAAACATTTGTATTGGGACCCACATGAAAAAAATAGCTTATCAGAACTCGCCACATCAGGGAGTAAGATTAGGGAATACATGTAGTAGAACTCTTATGATAATATACTTTCATACTTTCTTCTTGGGGAGAAAATATTTTTAGTCAATTTATTGACTACAAGAAAGATCATAATTTGAATAGATACTACAAAGTAATAGAGTCAGTAGCATTCAAGAAAAAAAAAAAAAAAAAAAGATTATAGTTAGTAACTTACTAACTTTTACACTTCTTGTTTTGTGATTTTCGTTTATCACATTTTGAGAAAATTCATCAAGAATTTTAAATATAAGTAACCAATTATTCATATAAATATGTGATAACTATGTCTATTATCTATATATCTAATTTATTAAATGCTAGTTTTGTCGAATAGCAGAATATAATGTCATGACCAATATTGGGTCTCTACGAAAACCCTCAACTCGCCTTTTTTTACATTTATTGTATTTTCATGACACCTTCTAGTGTATATATTTCTTTAGCGAGTTTTGATTTGTATGCCTTAATTGCTCGTTTCTATCAAATTAAATTAGTTAGCACGCTTCGGGTGTTATACTACTGTTTTAATTTTGAATCCAGATTTTAAGTATTTATGAATAATTAGGGACAAAATATGTTGTCAACAACTGTAACAGCTTTGTAAATATCTTTTATACACATCACCATGTAATCTACTCCCTTAGAGCATCCTTATTAACAAATATCTTACACAGTTCCCACATCCATCAGATCTCTGAGAAGCCCGCACAGACCATTTCAGCATCCATCCTAATACCATATTTTGTTACTCTTGAAACAATTAATTCGTAAAAAGAAAAGGTGAACACAATTAGATAGAAAATGAAATATGAGATACAAGTGAGGGAAAATAGATCATAGATGATTATCCATTGCTACCACAGCCATGAAAAATTCAAGATATATCAGAGGGATAGAAAGAGACCCAATATTTTCAGAACGAACAAGGAAGGCATCGATCATTTCCATAGTTGTTTTGCTCATCTTGAATCTACTTTGCAGAAGGCAGAACGGAATTCCTACAATGGCTTAACTGAATCAATGCTAGCTAGTGTGGCGATATTGGCAAAACCACGAGGGACTTCTTCCAACCAATAGCCCTCATTTATCTCTAAACATTCGAGCATAGGGAAATGGTCACCCACAGTATTCCAATATATTAATTACCAACATCTTCAACCTACAGAACCCTCCATCATATGTCTCCCACTTTAGACCTCTACAAGTATTTATCAGTTTTAGAACCTCCAGATTAGATAACAAACTAATAGGGCTCAGCTCACTCCACTATAAATTAGACTTCAAGAAGCTGAGCTTCTTAAGATTTGGTAAAATAGTTGCCCATGGGAATCGGCTCAATGGAATATGTTTGAGATAACGGCAGATGCTTAGTGTCTCAAGCTGCCCCAAGTGCATAACATCATAAAGCCAATCTAGATTATTATCATAGTATCCACCACCAACCCCCAACTTTTTTAAACCGGAAGCATTGTAAATAGACCCTTTGTACATGACTTAAAATCCAACCAAGATATATTCTCTAAGTTTCTATGAACAACCGATGGGATTTCTAATGAAAAATTTCCTTCAATGCAAAAATTCCTTAATTGAGGCATTTTCTAAATTCTATATGGTTCAGGGGAATACAATGTAACACCATCCCCACTAACAATAAGACTTTGCAAATTTCAATGCTCAAAGAGCTTTACATCAAAAGTTTCATCTGTAGACAAAGCTAAGTATCTCAAATGAACAAAATTTTAAAGAAAATTTAGTGCATTTATCTTTATCTCAAAATCTACCTCTTATGTCTAATATTCTTAGCAGTTTCAAGTGTGAAATTAGATGGTTCACATCTTCATTATTCCAAAAATAGTAAAGATGAGTTCAATGAAGGGAATGAGATTTGTGAAAGCACTCATCTACAAACCTTAGTTCACAATGGAAAGATCTTGAAATATGACTTAACCAACGACAAATATTTATAATTTAGTCACTTTAATTTTGTGACTGATTGAGACAAAAAATTTAAACTCATGGTAATTAAGGACTAAATTTAAACTTGGTCTATAATTTAAGGATGAAAAGAAAAATATTATTCTTTGTGTTTCAATTTTTGCTTCATTGATTTGAGTCTCAGTGTGGGCAATATTGACTCTTTGTGCTTAGTAGGTTGAGAAAGTAGTTATGAACACTATTGACTCTTTGTGTTTCAGCAGATTTAGAAAGTGAAAGTTGATTTTAGCGGTGATTTGTTAGTGAGTGTCGTCCTCTTGGAATAGCCATAAGGGAATTGAGTAAGAGGGGTTAAACACAATATCATTAAGTGTTTGAAAGCTAACCAAATTGAAATGCTTGTTTGCATAGAGACAATTATAAAACAAATAAATGATTAAGTGATAGTCAAGGATAAAAGAAAGGACTTAGATCAAATAGCAATGTACAAATGTTCCTTAGTGTTCTAAGATTCTTGGCTAAACCATGTTCAACAACGAATGCAAGGAACTTAAGTCAATATCAATGCCACTCTTGTGGACATTGGACTCTCAACAAGGTTCTAATCCTATTTTCATAGCAATTAGACTAGGTGAGGCAATTAATCAAACATCTCGTGTGCTCATTTCCTTCTAATTCCCCTTTCTCAAGAGTAAGTTAGAAATGTGACAGGTCTGGCTATGGTGAATCCCTATTAGGTGAAGCACCAAACCCAACGACCTCTTGCATAGTTGGGCCCTAACCAAACAAGAGTGCATACAATTCTCCAATTTCACAGTTACATTCATTTTAGAAGCATAGCAAAACCTAGACTTGGCAATGCAATTCATATTGGCATTCATACAAAGCAATTCAATCTAAATCCCTAACTAGTTTAACTACTCATAGTGGAATTAACAAATTAATAGCAAGTGAAATAACTAAAAGCACTTGAAATAATATGCAATGAATTCAAGTACAAAAGTAATTTGCAAAATAGGAGAATAAGAAATAAACTCTTACTTGATTGAATTTGTAAACGGTAAATCTGAAATTGAAGTAGAAATTGTAGTTACAAGTGGTAACGTTTCCCTAAATCTTCCAAGAATTGATAGATTTATAATGGATAGATGTTCTAAAACGGAGTTGTGGAGAGAAAACCTAAGAAAAATCTTAGAAAACTACCAGATCCCCTCAAAATAACTCCTCCCTTCTATTTATACTAAAGCCATCGCGCCAAAAAAAACTGCCTCTGGGACGCTTGGTCACGATGGGGGTCACGGCGTGACACCCATCGTGACCAGGCCAAAGCTTTGCTGGTCCCAGGATGTCACGCTGCAGCTCACGGCGTGACAAGCAGCGTGACTCCTGGGATCCGCGAAGTAGTCTGCTAGTCACAATGGGGGTCACGGCGTGACCTCCACCGTGATCAGCAGACTACTTTCAGATGGTTAGGTTGTCACGTTGCGGGTCACAGCGTGACCAGCAGCGTGGCACCTGACCATCTGAAAGCCAGCCGGAGTGTCACTTGTTGCGTCTTCTCCATCGCTCCGATGTTCCGTTGGTTGTTGCTATCATCGTGCTCTTCCGTTTGTGAACCACATTGCTTCAATATCATCTTGATTTGTCCTCATTTTGAGCTCTTGTATGCTCCGATCTACATTTTTCTTCCTCAAACTATCAACACCTTAAATATGCTTCATGTGCGTATAAACACCTAATGTTCACTTAGAAATTAGTACAAACGAAGCATAATTATAGACTAATTCAAGGCTTATCAGAAAGTAATTGTAAACACATTGTGCTTAAGTACTTAAAAAAAAAAAGTTATTAGTTTGGTCGCTATAATGTTTAAACAATAGTTTCTATATCTAGAATGCTTTTTGTGAGTTGAATTTAGTATTTTTTTTTAGTGGTATAAAATAGGCAATATTCAACAATACAATACATATATCCTCTCCATATATATTTTCCTTATATTTTTTCATATACTTGTTACTGATTGTATTTGTCCGAACTGTCCAAAGATCATAAAACCAACAATTTTAGTAAAGCTACATTAGTGGAGACTTTTGCATTATTATATTATGTAATCTTTCCATCCTATTTTATGTGTTGGGTTTGGTTAACGAGACTTGAATGAAGTTATTTATAGTTTAATTTTTTATAAATATTAAGTTTAGAATTAGTATATATAAAATTTATATATTTAAAAACTACAATAAAAGTATTATTAAACATAAAAAAATTAATTTTAAAAATTATAAAAAATACTAATAAAAATTAACAAAAAATAAAGATTTTTTTTAACTAATGAATAGTAAATAAAACATATAATATAAATTAATGGGACAGAAATGGTAATTTTTTTAATTTTGTCACTGTTGAAGTAACGTTATTATATATATATATATATATATATATATATATATATATATATATTGTACCATTCACACTTTGAGCAGCGTAAGCCATTTGATTCTCTCTGGAAGAGGAAAAGTTACGAAGAAATGAATGATTAGAACGAACAGACATTATTGTTGTCAAAAGAAAATAGGATAGAAAAGTAGAAGACAAACATTAATTGTATTAGCTAGTAAAGCTGCATTAGTGGACAACTTTTGCATTATTATAATTTTTTTGTCACTGTTGATGTAACCTTAATTATATTATTATTATTAGTATATATTTATTGTACTTAATTATCAATCATATTTACTTGTCCTACACCTACTGGCTTCTGCAAAGTTGGATTCAAGATGGGCAATAATGCAACAACTATGGAAATGCCCTGCCCTCCTTTGTTCACTCCAAACAGATTAATTAGGTTCTCTTTCTATCCCTCTGTCCATTTCACAATTCAACTTTTGATGGAGAGTAGGGGAATTTTTATGAAGACAAACCTGAAGCCCTCTTCATTCAATTAACCTAGCATGGATTATGATGGCAGATTTTAGAAAGGCAAACAGACCATTTAGGGGTGTTTGGTAAATAGTATTTAAAAAAAAAAAAACATGCTCAAAGTAGCTTTTTTCGAAAAGTTTTTTGAGAAAGTCATTTGTATGTAATCAGCTAACAGCTAATTTACCAAAACACTTTTTTACAATCAGCTAATAGCCATTTACCAAACACCCATTCTCAAAAAACTGAAAAACTGTTTTGATGTGCAGCTTTTTGAATTTGAGTGTCTTGGAGCAATAAGTTGTTATAAAAAGCTAATTAATCAAACACTCATATTCTATTAAAAAAAAAAAACAAAAATCAAACACTCATATTGGTTGTTTAACTAAGTCAAACAGCTAATAGTGGTGAAACAAAACCAAAATTGGCTGATAGGTTAACTATTTTACCAAACATGGCCTTAATCTGATTGAAACTTATGGCTGATTTTTTTTAGGTAACAAGGAAAATGTGCAACCACTCTCCAAGGGTGTACACTAGGTAAATCTCACTTTATGACCACATCCCGTAAAGAAGCAAAATGAAGTAAGTAAACTATCCTGCCTAGCTTGCCCATAGTTAACTGGTTCAAATCAAAATGACGAATAGATTGCTCTGATTAGAAGTTGAATTTGTAACTTTTTAGCATGGTTGCAGTAGGCGCTAGGCGCTAGTCGGGCGCCCGGACAGTGCCTAGCGCCTAGGCGCTCTAGCCGGCGCTAGGCGGGCGCCAAAAAAACAGTGGTAGACTTGCAGTTTGACAATTTTAATGAGGTTGTTTTCAACATTTAATCAAATAACCAGGGTTGTAAAAATCGGTCTAGACGCCTGCCTAGGCGGGCCTAGGCGGGCCTAGGCGCTAGGCGCCTCTAGACTGTGGTGATTTCCCCCCTAGGCGTCCGCCTAGGTTACCGGCTGCCTAGGCGTCCGCCTAGCGCCTAACTCGGCCGATTTGGCCGCCTAACGTCTAAGTTAGTCGAGTTAACTCGTCCATTTCGGTCGAGTTAACCCGATCGGCTCGGCCTATTTTTTTTTATTATATATATGTGTGTGTGTGTGTGTGCGCGCGCGCATACATATATATAATATGACATATATACACTCGTAGACTAGTTAGATACTTTGAATTTTTGGATAATTGAAGTATTTGAGTATTTCATATTTTTAATATTGTTTTAATGTTTTTTTTTTTTTGAAAACCATTGTTTTGATGTTATGACTTATGAATTATCATTAATTCATTTATTTGGATGTGTTATTTGATTAAATGTTGAAAACGACATCATTAAAATTGTCAAACTGCAAGTCTACCATTGTTTTTTTAGCGTCGCCTAGATTCCGCCTAGGCGCTAGGCGTTGTCCGAGCGTCCGACTAGCGCCTAGCGCCTACTGCAACCATGATAATTACGACATAATCAAGGGATCAAAATGGTCTTTAATTTTAAAAGAAAAATTATGAAAAAACCAAGGTTGTTAACAACTTGCAACCACATTGGCATAATGCAAGGTCGCGGGCTTTTGTTTTTTATTTATTTATTTTTTTCCCCTTTATTCTTGAAAAAACCAAAATGTATTTCAGAAGAACTTAATTTTTATCTCTCATTTCTCTTCCACATCAACAAACATTCCTTAAAAAGTGTGCACAAACTCCCATTGGAGTTGCTCTAAGACTTTGTATTATATTGTTTTCCTTAAGTCGAGACTTTGTATTATGTAATCAGCTATAAACTAACAGCTAATTTATCAAACATATTTTTACAATCAGCTAATGCTAGATTGCTATCAACTACTCAAACTCACTAACTCAATCAGCTAACAGCAAATAACTATCTAGTATCACGGCTGGAAATTATGGAATTTTCGACCACCTGAAAGTGATCTTAAATCAAGTCGAAAGCCTTGTTCCGACCACTTTTGGTATCCAGAAAAACCTTTGTTGCTATTTCTGGCCACTTTTTGCTTTCAACTTGATTTAAGATCACTTTCAGGTGGTCGGAAATTTCATAATTTCCAGCAGTGTATTTACCAAACACTCCCAATAATAATAAGTAATTGGTTAACGAAGACAACTAAGTAGTTCCAAGATGTAAATACATGTCATGTTCATATGACTAAAATAGGTACAAGAAATTTACATGGTTTGCAGCAAGATAGGTGAAGATCAATCCCCTTTGTTGACACAACTCTCCAGCCACCAAAAAGGGAGAATATTTGTTCCATTAGACAGCACAATACATACTGGCAAACACCTACCAAAAGACTTCCCAATCTTCCAATGGAAAATAGAATATCTTCAATAGTCTTTCTTCCCACTTAATGGTGCTTTCTTTAATGAACATACCGATAAGTTGATAAAATGCAATTGTTTGCATAAATCTCTGCTATTTCCTGAAAATCAAATGAGGGGTCGGTCCTGAACAAATGTTTTGTTTTAGCAGAAAAGAATGACGAGACTGAATAAAGAAATAAGGTAAAGTTACCGGTGAGTAAGGAGGATTAGTATAATCCTCACAAACTTTTGGAACTCTCTTGTGACGATTTGTATATGCGGAATGCAGCAATACACATTGTGGCGTTACCAATCACAGTCAAAGCTGCTTGAAGAGCCACTAAAACCTAATATGCAAGCGGGGAGTGTAAGCGTTAATTTTACACGGGGAAACCAAAAGGAGGGTTAAACGAAGTTATACGCATTGATGAAAAATGGGAACACAATAACAAAAGGATGAATAGTTGCTTCATAACATAGTAGAAAGTGGAGCCCTAAAATGCGTATTTGGATTTCGACTCTCATAACTGACATGAACATTGCAAAAAGTCTCTATATTTAACAAAATATCGACCTTCTATTTTTCCTAAGATGAACTTTTGTTTACCTCGAGAGACTCGGAGTTATAGAAGAAATGCCATGTGCAGGCACAAAATGCTCCACCTAGCAACGGCACCTACATAAAAAAATTCAGACGTGAATTCAGGATAACTATCGCATCCAACCTGAATCATTTTCCAATGCTACTAATAGTCCTTTTTCATCTGTTCAAAAATATAGATTCATTAACAATAGACTCGAGCCGGTTCTTAGTTTAAAAGCCTAATCTTTATATGGAAACTTTTATACATTCTGAAAATATTACTGCATCTTCCCATCATGAATCTGCAATACTGACGGTTTTACTACTCTTTCTAACTAACCTTTCACTCAATCACTATACTGAATTACACATCTGATGGTTTTGTGCACATTAAACATAAACACGAAAGAGATTCACAAAAAAAAAAAAAAAAAAAGCCTGTTCGTGGGTTTGAAAATAAGAAACTCGGTTCAAGTCAAGCTAGCTACCAACAGTCCAACAAACCTCCTTAGACGGTATGTATAATACACTCAGCTAAGGAGTACTTCCCTACTTTGTATTACTGCCTAAAACCTAGTGGCTATTCCAACCAAATCAATTCATTGGCCCTGCTTGGTAAATGGCTGTTAGCTGTTAGCTGATTGGGTTAATTAGAGGGTATAACTAGTTGATAACATTAGCTGATTGGGTTCCCCTACCAAAAAAAAAAAAAAAAAAAAAAAAAAAAAAAAAAAAAAAAAAGCTGATTAGGTTAATTAGAGGGTATAACTAGTTGATAACATTAGCTGATTATAGAAAGGTGTTTGGTAAATTAGCTGTTAGCTGATAGTTGTTTGGTATAATTTCTTTTCTCAAAAAGCTAATTGAAAAAGTTGTTTTGAGTAGCTTTTTGAATTTTAGCATTTAAAGTTACAAAAAGCTAATTAACCAAACACTTATATTGATTTGTTAACCAAGTGAAACAATTAATAGTGGTCAATAAGCCAAAATTGGCTGATAAGCTAACATTTTACCAAACAGGGCCAATTATCTTTCCCTAATGTTAATTGCAATTCATCAATCTCTACCGATGAAATCCAAAAAAAAAACAAGAAAGAAGTTGTCCACTCTAAATATTTAGCTTCAGCTTAAGTCTTTTGCATCAAATTCTACAAGCATTTAACTATTGAAAACAATAAAATTCCTATATCAGATTATCAACTAATTAATAGATGAGTGTTAAAGCTCAACTTTATTAAAAAAAAAAACTGTAGATATTTCAGACTTCTTTGAATACTGCATTCAAGCAGAGAACATGGAACTAGCATTGATGAAGTTTTACAGCAAATTAATGCACATAGTTTGAACTTCTGCTCTGCAAGATTATACTTCATTCTTAAAAGAAAAGCACAAAATGAGAAAATAAGATAACACTAGAGAAGAATTTCCAATACCCTCATATCAAGTATCGACATCATTCAAAGAACCACTTACAAGGATTTGACTCAATAAACAGTCACAGAATACCTCATTTAGTCATTTCACAACGGCTAACGGGCTAAGCATCATTCTAACAGTTGCCAGCCCTTTATAAAGACTCCCAGAAAATTCTATTCAGATCACTTTTAACTTTTTTTTTTTTTTATGCTGGAAAACTTGGATTGCTAATTTAATAAAAAAAAAAAATTAAATAGAAACATAGAATACGTATTGAAGATCATAGCTTTTGAGGGATCAAACAGCAAATCAAAATTTAGTAGAGAAAGTGGAAATTGGGAAATTGATAAGAACAGTAAATACTATACTGACTTACCATACCCCATGATAGCCCCTTCCAAGATTCATATCCTGACTTCTCCCCGTATTGCCAAACCAAAGCCATTGCAATAACCCTTTTAATTTTGAAATAAAGCAATGAATCAATAAACCCCTCATTTTATTTAGAACAGATATGGAAGGGACTACATAGCTAAAGCCATGAGAGTACGAATAGGGTGAGATAAATAAGAATGAAAAGCAATATTACCATTCAATAACACTGGAAACATGAATAGTCCAGGTGGGTAAAGACAGAGCATTGGCAGGTTCAGCAAACTGCACAGAGGATGAAGCCATTGCAGCTTGCTCGGCAGCAGAAGCAGGTCCGGATATGGAGATTAAAGCAAGACCAGCAACCCCCAAAACCGTAGCGAGGGTTTTTTGGTTATTGAAATCAATGGGGGGTATTGGGTGGAAAACAGCAGAAAGAAAAGTTGGGGATTTTGTGACTGAGGAAAGTTGGGTTTGTTTGGGCTTAGGGAAAGGTAGGAACTTTGAAGGAGATAATAAGGTTAGAACTGCCATCTTTTGATATCTTGAAAGCTTTGTTGCTGAAATGAAGATGTCAAGGGAGTGAAGTCTGGGAGTGGCAGTGGAATTAAGCAGTTGGCAAATTCACTCTCACTAGGGGGTAGTTTTGGAAATATAAGTAAAAATAGGCCTTTAGCCCAATTGGCTGTTGCCCGGAGCTTATTGGACCAAAACCCACATAGCCTGCATTAATTGGATCTGTTTTTCTTGGCCCAACTAATAACTCCTTCAGAGAGAGAGAGGGAGAGAGAGTGTGTGAACTTATCTTATTGTGTAAAATTAAGAATCTGTGCATCCCTGTGTTGCATTATCCAACGGTCTAGAATATGATGCACAGAAAAAGTCAACCAAAAACACTTTGCACAACGTGTGCGCACTGTATTTGTAGTGCACTACGAATGTGCATTGTGTTATAAATGACATGCACCATCCACTATTCTAGTTAAAGGGTTTAGATTGGTTCTTGAATTCACATGTTAATATAGGTTCTAATATAAACTTAAATCTATATAGGGGATGGTTCACATGCAAAACTTCTCCCAGGTGAAAAATGGAGTGAGATATGACTCGTTGATCTAATCTAGATCAACGACTCAAACTGAAGGAATTTTTTTTTTAAACGCGCTTCCTGGCAACATGAATGCAAATGATTAAGTGTTTCGAACTGACGCACCTTAAGCTGGAAAATAATGCACTTTAAGCTTTAAACATACACACCAAGTTGTTCTCCCATATGGGAGGTTGTGGGTCAGAGACTCCGAGCCTCAGTGGGGGCTCAACTCTTTATACTTCAGTATGTTGAGAAAGTATTTATAAACAGATATTGCATTGTAACAGAGTAAGTAGTACTAAAAAAAAAAAACATACACACCTTAAGGGGGCGTTTGGTTAAAGTAATATTAGCTTACTTCTGTAAAGTGATTGTGGTAATGTTATATTATCTTGTTTGGTTGAAGTTATAAGATTATCTAATAATGTTATATTATCTCAAAGTTGATGTAGCCTCTTAGTTAATCTAAGATTACCTTGAAATATTCCAATTTTGCCACCATAATAATAATAATAATAATAATAATAATAATAATATTATTATTATTATTATTATTATTATTATTATTATTATTATTATAATAAAGCGGTATAGTCGGGTGAAAAGAGAAGGAAAAATAAATGGGTTGCATTTATTTTCGTCCAAGCATTGGTTCTGTCAATGCTATTAAATTATCGTCCAAAATTAATTTTAAAAATGATAGTATTGAGATATTTTACGCCGCTTATATGAAAGGGAAGAGTATTAATTGCAGCCCCATATTAATTATTATTATTATTATTATTATTATTATTATTAAAACCCGTTCTATTAACCAAAAAGTGGAATTTCCACTTTTTGTAGCTCCAATATATTATTATTATTATTATTATTATGTTAAAGTATTGTGTAATAAATTTTGAACTATGAAAAAAAAAAAAAAAGACTTGCAAAATTACCAAAGTGAATCATTTTCTATGAGGGCACTTAAATAATTGATATAATATAACCTCTAACCAAACAAGTTAATGTACTCTGTACATTCCTACAACTTCAACCAAACACATAAAATAATCTTACATTCCCTTAATATGACATAACCTTCCCGGTATCAATCCTATTACATGGGGTAATCCAAGATTCCGTGAAGCAAACGACCTCTAAGAGTTAAACTGATGCACCTTAAACTAGAAAGTGACACACCTTAAGCTTTAAACTTAGGTTTTTTTTTTTTTTTTTCTAATTGTGCTTCAATTCATTCTGGACTGTTAATTTTGACAAGATCAAAGACTGTGATTAATCTGCACATTTCACCTAGAAGAAGCTTCGCACCTGATCCCTTGTATACAATAAATATATATATATATATATATATATATATATATATATATATATATATATATATATATATATATATATATATATATATATATATTATAAATGCTTTAGTTAGAGTTTATTGAAAGAGAATTTTTATGTACTATTTTTTTTTCTTTTGTCTAACTGGAATTTATTGATATTTTGTACCCAAAAAGTCCCACCACCGAGATTCTTTAAAAATCAATAGTTATTGCATGGATCGTGGTCCACACAGCAGTGTGGACGACGGTCCAAAAACGATGTCGTTTTGTTTAATTTTATTTTTTCGTGCGCCACTACTACAAAAATGGATATATAAGTACAATTTTATACTACACCTCTTAATGAAGGTGTAGTGAAAAGTTGAAATAAATAAGAATCCACTACACCTTTAAAATAAAGGTGTAGTGAAAAATAATTTCGAAATAAAAAAAAAACAAAAATAAAAATAAAAAGCTTTCCGCGGCACCCTATCCCAGAGGGAGCCGCAAAAATTAAATATTAAAATATTAATAAACTATTCGCGGCACCGGCCTGGAGAGGGTGCCGCAAAACGTTTATTATTATTATTTTATTAAATGATTTTCCGCCCTAAATCAACACAAATTTCACGTTTTCCGCCATTTCAATTCGCAAATTCATTTTCGCCTAGCTTTTCCGCCTGAGACCATCTTCATTCATACATGTCCCCTCGCCTTTCGCCGCCGCCGACGACGACTCCGCAGCCCTGCCTTCCGCCTGAGATACTTCTCCATTTTCACCCTGCCTTCCGCCGCCCTTCCTCCGCCGACGAAGACCGCCGACCGCGCTGAGACTATTCCGACACCGCCCCCTCGCCATTCACTGCATTTTCTGCCATGACAACGACTCCGCCGCCCTGCCTTCTGCCCTGAGATACTTCTCCATTTTCGCCCTGCCTTCCGCCGCCCCTACTCCATTAATGATATAGATGAAGTTCGTGAGTTGTGGGCACATTACTTTAGTAAAGAGTGCGTGTAACTTTATTTCATTTAAACATTATCTTTATTATTATTAACTTATGTTTATGTTTTGTTAAGCAATTGCATGTATATCTTGATTTCAATTTTAAATGTGTTGATAAGTATATTGTGGTGTTTTATTGTGTTGATTATTAATTATGGAGTATATATATAGTTATGTTTATGTTCATATTTATTAGAGTTGGTTTGAAAATCATTGTGAATAGATAGAATAATTTTTTGTAATTAGTTTTGTATTTCTTTGGTGAATTTGAAAATAAATTTTGTACAGATTTTGAGCAAATAATGGGTAATAATTAAAATTGGGATAAAATAAAAATAAAAAAAAATTAAATTTCCGCTACACCCTCTCCGTAGAGGGTGTAGCGGAAAGTAAGATATAAAAAAATAAAATAAAATTGTTTCCGCGGCACCCAAGTTGACGTGGGTGCCGCGGAAATCAATTATTAAAAAATAATATAATACTTTTCGCGGCACCCTAAGACTAGAGGGTGCCGCGGAAAGTCTATATTAATAAAATTATAAAAGCTTTCCGCTACACCTTGTACGGGTGTAGCGGAAATCCAGTGCTTTCAGCGACATTGGATTTCGCTACACCTGCACAGGTGTAGCGGAAAGCATTTTATGGGTGTAGGTGGATATCTTTTTTTTTTTTTTTTTTTTTTTTTTGTAGTAGTGCGTCTAGCTGTAACATAGATTTCTATAACTCATAATGTATATTATTCTAAAACATAATGTACATTATTCTAAAGCATAATGTACATTATTTTAAAACATAATGTACATTATGTTACTGCAGATGTTTTATTATTCTAACACGTAATGTACATTATTCTAACACTTAATGTACATTATTCTAACACGTAATGTACATTATTCTAACACATAATGTACATTATTTTTACTCATAATATTCACGACAATGTTTTGGACCGTGGTCCACACAATAATTTGCCTTTAAAAATAGATTTTTTCGACTTAAATTTGAAATTAAAAGTTTTTTAATCACTTTCTAGTGGTTGACTTGATATAAATAAACTTAAGGTTGTTTATTTTCGCATTGCAAAAACGTGTCTTTTAAAATTTTATAAAAGCTCCATAAAATATTTTACAATCGTTTTTTAGAAAAAAAAATTACAAATGTATTTTCTAAAAAGATATTAGTAAACAATTATTAATCACTACTGGAAATTATGAAATTTCCGACCACCTGAAAATGATCTTAAATTAAGTTGATATCAAAAAGTCCAAAAAGTGGTCGGAAATAGCAACAAAGGTTTTTCCGGATATCAAAAGTGGTCGGAACAAGACTTTCGACTTGATTTAAGATCACTCTCAAGTGGTCGGAAATTTCATAATTTCCAGTAGTGAATATTTATACATATTATCTAAAGAAAAATCATTTATAGATACACATTTTTTTTAAATTTATACATTTTTCATTCATTTCATTTATTATATTCCTTTGTATTTTATTTTTCAATTTCCATACTACCTAGAGTAGATGTACATATGTAACTACGTGATAGGGCCGAGTTGCGTTGGGTCAATAAAATTATTCAATCCGAGTCACACTCACATGCATTAGTAATTTGCTTACCAATTACTTCAAATTGTTAGATTACCTTAAAAACTTTTTAAGATTCATTTTAAAATATTTGTCATAGTAGATTGTGTTGACTACCAAAAAGTAATACATGATTTATTTATTTATTGGAAGAATGATTTATTTATTTATTAGTTTTTTGGAGAGAGGAAGTATTATTAGGGTTGAACATGTTATTTGTGTATAAATATTTCACCCCACTACGACATTAAATTAAAGGATATAATGTACAACTAAACTCTAGGAGCTACATGAAGTTAGGTACAAAATAGTAGGTCTTTAATTTGGTGGATTAATAGTCGTTTTCATTCAAATTTTTTGGTACATTTAATGATGTGAATCGAGAAAAATGGATAATTTAATTTTAAATAATTAATTATTTGAAAAAGAAATATAAATTACTTGAATTTCCTAATTCAATTAAATAAAATAAAGTACTTTTAAATTTAAAGTCAAAAACTTGATTTTTATGCCACTCACATAATGAACATTTGAATATTTTGTGCCTTTGAAATATGAATAGGGTTGCAAAAATGATTGCTTTGAAGAAAAAAAAGAAGTCAAAATTCAAATGTTGCGAATCTTGAATGCCTAGCTAGGCCCCACTTTCACAATTAAGATATGAGCTGAGAACACAAATGAAGAATGAAGTAGTTCTTTTGCCCCCACAAGATTTCAATGTCATTAGCCAGATTAGATTGCACTTACCTTTTTGTCTTGAATTATATTGTCTAATAATTTGTCTTTAAAAGCACCAACGTAAAGTGGTATATGCTCAAATTAATTAGTTAAAAGGAAACAAGTTAGATATGACAAAAATAAAAGAGAAAGAAAAAATGAGAGATAAGATTTTGTGTCTAAAAAAATTGATTACTTAATAAATTTTATGTTATAATTTGTTTAATTAACTTCATGTATTTACTATTTAAATAAATTTCTCATTTCAATTTTCATATCTGATCTTACTCAATTGTACAAATTAATGATACAATTGTGCTCACATTGAAATTGTAACATAAAAATTGTAGTGGTCCTTAAAAATGAGAAGAAAATAAAATAAAATTAATCAAAATTAGGTCAAGAAGAGACAAACTTCAATTTTTTTCATTGAATATTATGACATTGTCACATTTTAATAAAATGATAATTAAATATTTAAGAAAAATATGATAGATATAAGTGCATGGTAATAATGATGGAGTCATCAATGTTATAATTAAATAGTAATATAACGGAGTTATAATGGTGTTAAAGTAGTTTTGTCTAACAAAAATGGGGTAGGGACAATTTTGTCCAATAAAATTGGAGTGTACAACATTAAAAGTAAAATGTATACATTTATTAACATACAAAAAACAAACATAAATCAATGACATGATTTGAATTGAGACTTATTATGTTTTTAGATTTTGTCTTGTTACATAATCCTTTATTTTTATTTGTTTGCCATAATTATTTAATTAATAATTTTGTTTTCATTTCACTGTTTAGTAAAGAGTGGTAACATGAAATTTTTTCATTTAAGTATCTTGTCCCAACATGTAATTTCTCACCCTCTCTTATAAACGAACTACTTAATTGCATAATCAAATTACATGTTAACCATATTTATTAAATGGTGGAATTAATAACAAAGTTTTAAAAGAATAACTTATTATGACAAACAAATGAAAGTCAAGAATGTAATGTGACAAAATTATAAGAGTAAGACTAAATATAGTAATAGTACAACGGTGAAAGACTAAAAGTTGAATTTACTTGTATTCAAAAAAAAAAATTTGAATTTACTGGTTCAAGAACAACATTTTACTTCTTGTTTATGTGAAAATTACTACTCCATACTATTATTTTTCATGTAGTTAAGGAAAAGTATTTTTCATGTATTAGTTAGAGGAAAAAAAGTGTAGACAACCTTGTATAAAATGTGTAAAGAAAAGTAATTGCATGTTATAGATCAGACATTTAGACATGTTAGCAAAGGTGATAAATGACTTAATTTCATTTTAAATAACTAGATTACATTTCCATTCAATTCATGCCAACAAAACAATAATAGAGCTCAATAATTCAGAACCCTATATGCTGCTAGCTATTCTTATGGAAACCCTACCTAGCTAACTAGGTTAGTTGATACTTGCTTTCGAGTGTATATATATAAAATATATACGCCCTATTTGGTAATATAGCTCGGTCAATTTTGATTTATTTGACCATTATTAATTGTTTGACTTGATTAAAATCTCAATATAAGTTTTTGATTAATTAGCTTTTTGTAACAACTTATTGCTCCAAAACGCTAAAATGTAAAAAAAAAAAAACTACTTAAAGTAACTTTTTCAAACAGTTTTTTGATAAAGTCATTTTACATGTAATCAGCTATCAGCTAACAGCTAATTTGCCAACCATATTTAATTAGCTATCAGCTAACAACTAATTTGTCAAACATCTTTCTACAATCAACTAATGCTATCAACTAGTCAAACTTACTAATCCAAACAGCTAACACCTATCAACTAACAATTATTTACCAAACAACCCATAATGTTTGGTGAAGTGTCGTTTTTGGTTGGTGCTTTGATTTGTTTGGTGTTTATTAGAGGGACAAAATGCAATGCAAAAGTGGAGAAGTATAGATGCAGACAGCAGATGCATGATGTTGATTCAACCATGTGCATGGGAAAATATGAAAAGCGAAGGCTGCAATTCCTTATTTGTGGTATTTGGTCCCTCCCAAATTAAATTTTTCATAAATTTTATTAAAGTTATCAAACGTTGATGTGCCATATTGTCGAATGAAAATCATGCTTAGCAAATTAATTAAGAGTATTTTTTTTTTCCCTCAACTATAATTGTATTTTATGTTTGGGCTCTCAATTCACATTGAGTTGTTCTACTTTTTTTTTTTTTTTTTTTAATCTAAAAAAAAAATCTTTCACATTTAATCCAAAAATACCTTTAAATGTAATAGGGTGAGGTTTGGTGAAATTTTTAAAGTAATGAAATTTTGAGTATTTATTAGAACTAAAAGTAGGACATCTTTACAATTCGATAACTGAAAATATAACAAATCGAAGTCAAAAATCAAAAATTAAAATTTCATAATAATTGAGGGATTATTAAAACAAGGGATAAAGTACAAATAAGCCACTGAATTATTTGGAAAAAAGCAATTAAGTCATCGAACTCAAATAACCTCCAAATAAGCCACTGAACCCGGGAAAAAAGAGCAATTAATATTTTTAACAGGTTAACTTTAAGTTTTTGCTGACTGGATTGCCAAATGTTTATTTTATTTATCATTTTTTTTATTATATCCACCCACATAGTAATATATTTTAAAGTAATTATAATCAAAGTAGTTTTGTCTTATCTATCTAATTTATTTATTTATTATTATTTTTTAAACAAAAGATCCAATGAAAAAATAATAATAAATAAATCAAATCTCGACAAGACAAAA